TTATGAGTTAATTACTATTAATAATCAAAAACACAAAGTCTAAAAAAAATGAAAATTTAAAAATAAATCTATTTTTTGTRCATAGTACATTATGATTACGATTAAAAATATGATATGACTTACACAATACTCAGGCTTAAAAATATTAAAATAAATAATAATTGATCACATAGGCATTTAAAAACATCTCAGAAATTCAATATCTACTTACAATAATATATACTTACATGCTAAATATGAAACTAAGACCAGAGTGTCGTTATTTTCCGAGCATACTGACTGATAGTATGTATTACATAATATAAACCGACGGAAGACGTTGCTAAGTTACAGGTATGACAAACTATGTTATAATTGTTTCAAATATAGATATTGATTATRAAATTTAGGTCATAAGGTATTGATCACCGTTCACTGATTTACCGCACAATTAACTAATTTATTATTATTTTAAATTTATACAATAAATAAAAATATATTGTAAACGTGATTTTGAAATCCAATGAACTATTAATTATTAGAAATTAGAAATTAGAAAAATTATTTATTTTAAAACTATAGTGATGTAGATATTGTACCTATGTTCTAATTTATATTTTTTTAAATGGCTCGGATGATACACATCGGAGGTGGCTTTTTTTWAAAATAAAGTAGCGTTTTTAGAAATAATTATTGTTTATACATGAGTGATGATTATTGGTTGGCAAACAAATAACCCAAGGCAACCGCGATCATTGCCACTGGAAACACTAGCGATGATGAGGATATCGACGAGGTTGTTGATGAAGATGATGACAAAACCAGTGAATGTCTTTTGTTACACAAAACCATGGCAGATTTTGGTCTCATAGTAAATCCATCTGTCTTAAGTGAATATCTAAATGGTAAAAAAATCATCAATGAAACGGTACCTTTAGGTAACAGAAAAACCGTATAATTAATATAAGTAATGAATATAGTTCCAGGTATCACATAATTAAGTTTGTAGTTAAGTGATCTCATAAGTTATCTATCAATCACTTAAAAATATTAAAAATTCGATCACATCAGAAACACGTATACAATCATGTATTGTAATATGTATATTGAAAAATATAAAAGCCGAAGAATTAACGCATTTTTCCAGG